GTGTCATTTTCATGGTTTTCGAGGGTGTTGAAGCCGATAGTGCTGTCGAAATGTAAATCCAAGATGGCGGCTGTAATAGGTATCAATTTTTTCATTATGGGTGTCATTTTCATGGTTTTCGAGAGAGTTGAAGCCGATTGGGTTGTCGAAAAGTAATTCCAAGATGGCGGCTGCAATAGATATCAATTTTTTCATCATGGGTGTCATTGTCATGGTTTTCGAGGGTGTTGAAGCCGATAGTGCTGTCGAAATGTAAATCCAAGATGGCGGCTGCAATAGATATCAATTTTTCATCTTGGGTTTCATTTTCATGGTTTTCGAGGGTGTCGAAGCCGATAGCGCTGTCGAAATGTAAATCCAAGATGGCGGCTGCAATAGGTATCAATTTTTTCATCATGGGTGTCATTTTCATGGTTTTCGAGAGAGTTGAAGCCGATTGGGTTGTCGAAAAGTAATTCCAAGATGGCGGCTGCAATAGATATCAATTTTTTCATCATGGGTGTCATTCTCATGGTTTTCGAGGGTGTTGAAGCCGATAGTGCTGTCGAAATGTAAATCCAAGATGGCGGCTGCAATAGATATCAATTTTTCATCTTGGGTGTCATTTTCATGGTTTTCGAGGGTGTCGAAGCCGATAGCGCTGTCGAAATGTAAATCCAAGATGGCGGCTGCAATAGGTATCAATTTTTTCATCATGGGTGTCATTTTCATGGTTTTCGAGAGAGTTGAAGCCGATTGGGTTGTCGAAAAGTAATTCCAAGATGGCGGCTGCAATATTATCAATTTTTTCATCATGGGCGTCATTTTCATGGTTTTCGAGGGTGTTGAAGCCGATAACCAATCCCCGTGTAGTGGCGGGTAAGAATACTCACTACCCCATATCTTCTCGTGGGTGTCGAAAAAGGCGACAAAGGGAAACTGAGGCAGAGGATGGGCAGCAGCATCTTTCTGATGACAGCAAAGCAACAATAAAAAAAACTGCGATTGCCAACCCGCTCGCCAAGCGTGGCAACTACGGCAATATACCCCGCCATGGACGACCAGACGACAACTGTTCAGTGATGTCTCAGTGATCGCGAGGGTGAAAACCGGCAGCGATCACCGAATGGTGAGAGGCACACTGAACCTAAACGTTAAGTTGGAGAAGTTACGTCTAATGAAGTCAACGCTCCGTCCCCCTTGTGATCTAATCCAAAGTCCCGAAACCTTTCAGCTCGAGCTACAAAACCGTTTTCAGTGCCTAGAAGATTGCAATGCAGTGAACGATACGAATGACAAGCTCGTGGAAACTGTCCATGCGGTCGGAGCTAAGTTTTGCAAGACCCGCCGCAGAAGAACACAAAAACTCTCCGATCACACTCTTAATCTCATGGCTGTTAGACGGCATATGAAGCTGCAGTCTTCAGTAGATTTGACAGCATACAGGCAACTGAACAGACAGATCTCCAAATGCATGCGGCGGGACTTACGCAACTTTAATACTGCTCGTATTAAAGAAGCGATCGAACGCAACCAGGGCTCCAGTCTTTGCCAGAGATCTGTCTGCCAGAAAGAGCCAACTGTCGAAGCTGAAGACCGAATGTGGCAGCATCGTTTCCGGGGCACCTGAGATTTTGAGTGAGATTGAGAGGTTCTATGGGCAGCTGTACACGTCATCGTTGGAGCCGCACGCAAGTGTGAGTAACGATCCAAGAGCGAGTCTTATCCGACATTATTCCGATGATATCCCGGACGTCAGTCTGAGCGAGATTAGAATGGCTCTCCAGCACCTTAAAAACGGCAAGGCCCCAGGCGAGGATGAAATTACAGCGGAGCTTCTGAAAGCGTGGAAAACCGGTACTTGAAGTCCTTCAGAAGGTCTTTAATTCCGTCCTCCATGGTGGCATTACACCGGAGGCGTGGAGCAGAGGTGCGGTGGTCTTGTTCTTCAAGAAAGGCGACAACGCTCTCTTGAAGAACTACAGACCGATTTCCCTTCTGAGCCGCGTCTACGTGCTGTTTTCGAGAGTCATTACGAATCGTCTCGCGCGCAGACTTGACGACTTCCAGCCTCCCGAACAAGCCCGTTTCCGAAAAGGCTTTAGCACCATAGACCACATACATACCCTTCGGCAAATTGTACAGAAGTCCGAGGAGTAAGTACAATTTGCCACTATGTCTGGATTATGTGGAGTATGAGAAATCCTTTGATTCCGTCGAAATTTGGGCGGTGATGCAGTCCCTAAAGCGATGCCAAGTTGACTGTCGGTATATCAAAGTGCTGAAGTGCTTGTACAGTAGGGCTACGATGACTATCCGAGTACAGAACCAGAGTACGAAACCTATCCAATTGCAGAGAGGTGTAAGACAGGGTGACGTTATATCCCCGAAACTTCACCGCTGCATTGGAAGACGCTTTGAAGCTTCTGGACTGGAAAGGATACGGTATTAACATCAATGGCGAGTACGTCACTCACCTTCGCTTTGCCGACGATATAGTCCTTATGGCAGAATCAATAGTGTTTCCCAACGGATAGGTCTTAAGATGAACATTGACAAAACAAAGATCATGTTTAATGTGTTGACGAGTATGTTTACCTGGGTCAAATAGTCCGACTAGGTAAGTCCAACTTCGACCGAGAGGTCAATCGACGGATTCAACTCGGTTGGGCAGCGTTCGGGAAATTACGGTACATTTTCTCGTCAGGTATACCTCAAAACTCAAAACCAAGATGGCGGCTGCAATAGATATCACTTATTTATTCATGGGTGTCATTTTCATGGTTTTCGAGGGCGCTGAAGCCGATAGTGCTGTCGAAATGTAAATCCAAGGTGGTGGCTGCAATAGGTATAAATTTTATCATCATGGGTGTCATTTTCATGGTTTTCGAGGGTGTTGAAGCCGATAGTGCTGACGAAATGTATTTAAACTACTTTAAAATATTCCGTATAATCATGTTATACGTAATTTTTTTAATGCGCTTAAGGCATGTCCAATTGGATTTACCAATCTTTATTTGTATTTTATAAATCGTGCATTTTAATTTTGAACCTCAGTCCACAGTATCCCAGCAGCACCCGCAAAGACGGCAGTAGAAGTATCCTCCGGAACCTATAGGTGTAAGACGTGAGCGAATCGCGGAGTACTCGTATTTAGTTCTGTTAGACTCTCGTCCGACTTTAGGGTTAGAACATTAAGTGCTGCAATTTGGATACTTTCTTTAATGGGGGGATTACATTTGTCTTTGTTGCTGATGTTGTTGTTTCTTGTTGTTTTCTAGTGTGTTTGTTTGGTTTTTTGTAGGTTGGTGAGTGGTGGTCTAATTCCCCACGGGACCAGCCGGGTTGGGGAATGTTAATTTGGTTTTGGTGGTATTCGTTGTTTTACTGTTATTATTTCGGCTACCGCCTATTTCTAGTTTTTTGATGTCTCCTCTATATTCGGATTTGATTGGCTTCGCATTCTTTCTGCTGGGTTGAATCTCGAGATCTTCCCACGAAAGGATTATGACTTTAAATTTATCAACACTGTTCGCTATTTTTAGTGCAGGTTTTTTCCAATCGGTCACTTTTGTACTATTGTTACTAATCAAAATGCGGAGACGATCACTACGTAATGTTCAGTTTGACAGTTGACAGTCGAAAAAAAAAACTTTCTTTAAGTTTACTCAATTAAATAGGTATAATCTATAGTATATATGGGCAACATCCGGCCCGCTGTAAGATATGATCCGGCCCGCGAGACATTTTGAAAAAACTCAATTAAAAAAATACGAGTATTACATTAGGTACTTATATTCACGGGAGTGACAGTGAGGCGGCAAATATCAAATTTACCGCTAAAAAGAACCCCTTTGTCGTATCTCCTCAGTTTCAAGGCACTCCCCTTCTTGCCTCAGCCAGTATCGGAATCCTCGGAGTCGATATATCGGAGCGACGTGCAGTTTCGTGGTCACTTGGAAGAGAAGGCCAAATTGGCCTCTAAAAAGCTTGGCGTGCTCAGCAGAGCGGGACAGTATTTCATGCCGGCACACCGCCTGCAACTTTACAAGGGGCAGGTTCGGCCTCACATGGAATACTGTTCCCATCTCTGGGCTGGGGCTCCCCAGTGCCAGCTCCTTCCACTTGACCGCATCCAGCTCAGAGAGGCTCGAATCGTCGACGACCGAGTCCTTTCCGATCGGCTCGATTCATTGGCACTGCGAAGAGATGTTGCATCCGTTTGCATTTTCTTTCGCACCTACCACGGGGAGTGCTCTGAGGAATTGTTCGGTTTAATCCCAGCCGCCAAATTTCACGAACGCACATCGCGGCAGAACTCCCGATACCATCCACACCATCTGGATGATTGGCGGTCCACCACTGTGGGATTTAGAAGATATTTTCTTCCTCGCACGACTTCCTTGTGGAATCGATTACCATCAGCGATTTTTCCGGACCGATACGACTTAGGGACCTTCAAGAAAAGAGCGTACTCCTTTTTAAAAGGCCGGCAACGCATCTGCGATTTACTCCCTGGTGTTGCAGCTGTTCATGGGCGGCGGTAGTCACTTACCATCAGGTGAGCCGCATGCTCGTTTGCCCCCTCTCCTATAAAAAAATAATATTTGAGGATTGCCGCCTCACGAGCGACACATCAAAAGATTTATTGCTTCTCAATTATTCTAAACTAGTTTATTCCAGATTATTCCTTCATTTTGCCTATATAAGCGGGTAGATGGCCCAAACGTTAGTTCAGTTCTATTTGAGCTACCGAGGTGATAACTTGGACAAGTGATATCCTGGCGAACTGCTCGAGCCGTCAACTTGCTTCGTGAATTTGTGTGCATCTTGAGTGGTTATTAACTATAGCTTGTTATTAAGTTTATAGAACGAAAAGTAAACAAAAATGATGTCTGGTGGAAAGAAACGAAAAGTAGATACAGAGGTTTGCCAGTTTCAAGAAAAATGAACTGAAGAATTTTTTTTTTCTGCACAATGGTAAGCCTATTTGTTTGCTGTGTAATGAATCCATTTCAGTAATGAAAGAATTCAATATAAAGAGGCATTACTCAACTAAGCATGCTACGCTCCACTCACTGACAGGACAATTAAGAACAGAAAAAATCCAGAAGTTTACCACAAATTTGGAAAAACAGCAACAAATGTTTCATAAACAAAGAACACAACTTGATAATGTTGTGAAAGCTAGTTTTATACTTAGCTCAAAATTGGCAAAGGCATTAAAACCATTTGCCGAAGAAGAATTTATCAAGGAGTGTATGTTAGAAGTTTGCGGTATTTTGTGTCCTGAAAAGAAAAATGAATTTGAAAAAATTAGTTTGTTAAGACGAACTGTTGTTCGTCGTATAGAAATGATGGCTAATAATATAAAAACAACATTGACTGACCGTATAACTGGTTTCGAATCATTTTCCATAGTATTAGACGAGAGTACCGATTTGTCTGACACAGCTCAACTGGCTATATTTATTCGAGGTGTTGATAAGGAGTCCACTGTTACAGAGGAATTGCTTGCTTTACAGCCGCTAAAAGGAACCACTACAGGAGAGGATATTTTTATTGAAGTTCAAAAGGTATTCACAAGTTTTGGCTTGCCACGGTCAAAATTATTTGGAGTATGCACTGATGTTGCACCTTCTATGGTCGGCTTACGTAAAGGTTTCATCGGAATTTTGAATGAAAAAGCAACATAATTAAATGTACAAAAAGATGATTTGATAGTCCTTCATTGCATTATCCACCAACAGAACTTGTGTTCTAAGTCCATTCGACTCCAGAATGTTATGAATGTAGTAGTAAAAACTATCAACTTTATTCGATCCAGAGGGCTTAACAATCTTCAGTTTAAGGCGTTTTTGGATGAAATATCAGCTGAATATAACGACGTAACATATTATTGTGAAGTCAGATGGCTGAGCAAAATAAAAATGTTGAAACGGTTTTACGAGCTTAGAAATGAGATAGCAGCCTTTATGAAAATAAAAGATAAACCACTATCTGAATTAAGTGACCCAAAATGGATATGTGACTTGGCATTTCTGGTCGATCGTATGGGCTATTTGAATGATTTAAAGAGCAATGGCAGAAAAATAGTTGACAAAAATTATAGCGTCTAGAAATAAGTTATATATAAAATGAGTTTTATTATTTTTCTATGATTTTTCAAATAAAAATGTATTTTAATTAAAGCCACAGAAAAAAACAAACATTTTTGGGAATATCAAATGACTTATATCATTTTACTCTATTCAAATGTTGCCATTTAGTATATTCATACTATTTTCGTATACACTTTGTAACACTACCAACACAACACACAAAATATTATTATACACTCACCGGCACGGAAACTTGGCCACTCGTGAATTTGCTGATTATTTGCACTGAAACGTTTTTTTAACAGTAAATTAAGGGTAGATGCATTCAATAAGTGTCTCTAATGGTTTTAGCACGTAGAAATTTAATGTTTACTTCACCGAAATTTTTCTTTTCAAGATAACATGTTTTCACTAAAATTAACATCTTTCCATTGTCACTTTAAAAACACTACAAAGTTAAAAATTAAGTCTGTTTCTTTATTGTCTATCAGTTTTAATATCGGGTGTTTCCTCCCCTAGCCCTGATAACCGCTTGCATTCGATCTGGCATGCTTTGAATGATGTTTCTGACATCAACTTGCGGTATGCTGTCCCAAGCGGCCAGCGCTGCATTTCGGAGCTCATTTAGAGTTTGTGGCGGTTTGGAGCTGGACTTTATCTTTCTTTTGAACATACCCCATACATGCTCAATTGGATTTAAGTCCGGGCTACGAGCTGGCCACTGTAATTTTTGTATTCCAACCTCTTCCAGATATTCCTCTACACAATGTGCGACGTGCGGGCGTGCATTATCGTGCATGAGGAGGAATTGGTCGTGTCCAATGAATCCCGAATAAGGAATTACGTGCTCCTGAAGAACTTCCTCGATATATCGAGTAGCTGTAAGCCGATTATCGACGATGACCAACTCTGTACGTGCGTCGGAACTTACACCTCCCCATACCATTATTGAGCCTCCATGGAAACTCACAGTTTGGGTGGTGGTAATGGGTAGAAACCTCTCTCCTCTTTTTCTCCACACTCGTTCTCGACCGTCTGGAGCACGTAAAGCTATTCGACACTCATCTGTGCACAACACTCTAGCCCATTGCTTGTGGGTCCAATTGACATGTTCTCTTGCGAACTGAAGTCGGGCTACTCGGTGCTGTCTGAGAAATTCTGGACCTCGTGCTGGTCTACGAGCTTTTAAATTCACTTCCTCCATTCGTCTTCTCACCGTACGCTCACTAACATTAACGCCTCTTGCGATTTGGAGCCGCTGGCGTATCTCAACAGCGGTCAGGTAGCGGTTTCTCAAAATCTCCATAACAATAAAACGATCGTCCCGGGCCGATGTGCACCTTACGCCCGCACTGCCTGGCCTGCGGGTGTAGCGTCCTGTCTCCTGGTATCGTTTCAGTGAATACTGCATTGAGGACCGTGGTACGTTAAGCACAATAGCAACTTCACGCTGTGTCAGCCCTTGGTCAATTAATGCTACTGCTTGTGCAACTTGTGCTGGTGTTAATGGCATTTTTATTGGCTTTAAAGCACCTTTAGTTATTGAATTAAGACACAAGATCACAATAATTGAATAACCTTACAGTAAACTTTTCACAACACACAAATTTAAAATGTGAACTTAGTCGCTCAAATGACCCGATTCAACTAAAAATTAAAGAATTCGTCATGGTGCACTTAAACATAATGAATTACCCTCTTGAACTTGAGAGCAAAAATTTTTTGACATACCTGCATAACAAACATTCATCAGAAACACTTAAAGCTTTTGCTATCGCGAGATAACCGCTTGGCCAAGATTCCGTGCCGGTGAGTGTATTAAGTTATTATTAGTAATAACTGTACTATCAGTAATAACAAAAATAAAAGTGACATGGCTGAGAATAAGTCTCTTACAAAGAATTTCCTACAATAATACATTATCTCAATCGTAGTACTATGTAACAATTCCATTTAATGTTATGCCAACACTAGCTAAAATAAAATGTCACTGTTTTTTTTACTGGCTTTACGGCTCTGGGTTCTACCCCTTTTGAGAATGTAACTATGGTACAAAAGCCCTGGAGCCATGCCAGAAATATACATTTATAGTATGTAAATATATAATAGAGATACAATAACCTAAAAACTCTCAATTATGTATTATGTATCAAGCTAACATCAAACAACCACAGGAAGCATTAGGAACGATTTAATTATAATGTACTATTTTATTAAATTTCATTTTGTTATTTTAATAAATTGTACTATAATAACATTATCGTATTATTTCATCTCTAATATCTATTGCAAAAAATATCATCACTACTTTAAAATGCACTAGGTACTTTTAAACGCAGCCCGCGAACATATTTGCACGCTAAAGTTTGGCGCTCACCATGTCAAAGGTTGCCCATACCTGATCTATAGAAATAAATAAAATTGAAGCATCTGTTTGTAACGTCAAAATAACAGCTATTTACTAAATGCATATGAAAGTGCATATGGTATAACAAAACCACAATTTCTAAAAATTTTGTCAGTCTGTCTGTTTGTTCCGGCCAATCTCCGAAATAGCTGGACCGATTTTGATGAGACTTTGACTGGCAGATGGCAGCTGATGTTATAAGAAGTAACTTAGGCTACTTTTATTTTAGAATAAGAATTAGGGTTCCGTGCAAAAAAAATTAAAACCCTAAATTACACACGGGCGACGTCTCGGGGAACATCTAGTCACAACATATAATATTTAATGTAACAAATTAATAATTTAATACCTGCAATATCTAGGTGTATTTTTATAGGATAAGTAAGGCCTTGCCTGAAATAAATAGTCGTTTAACCAAGGTTCTAATGAGACTGAACAAGCCGCAGATCAGGATAGTAAGAAGTGCTATCACAGGACATGGTAACTTTAACAAACATTTATTTACCATAGGTGTTACGGACAGTTCCCTGTGCAGGGAATGTATGGGGGAGGAAGAAACGGCGGCCCACGTGTTGCTGAAGTGTCCGAAAGTGGCTGTATACAGGGCTAAACATCTCGGCACGCCGGGATCATTCCCCGAAGTTGTTTGTAACATCAAAGGACTGTTGAAATTCTTCGGAGATATTTCATGGCTCGAATAAATATTAATAATAAATAATATAGGCGCTTAGACGTGGAGTTGCGGAAAACAGCCCGTTTAAACAATTCAATTTAATATAGGATAAGTGTGACAACGAGAGCCATACTGCAACTATATTAGTAGTATAGTTGTAGCACGAATTGGTCAGCTCGACCGCGGAAGAACCACGCTCTCACAGAATAGCAGTGTAAAATAGCAGCTTAACACTGATGTGTTTCGTATGGTGAGTGTAGAAAACCGGAGACCCTTTTTAATGGAAAAGAAGCATTCCATCTTAGTCCTCACGACTGACAACGCAACTGCATTTTAATTCGCAAACGAAGATAGATGTAGATGTCTATGGGTCACAGCAACCACTTACCATCAAGTGGACTGTGTGCTCGTTTGTCACCCTTATCCTATAAACAAATGGGCTGCAGACGCCACTTAACATCAGGTAGACTAAGTTTGTTTGTCACTTGAATTGTATTAAAAATATTATATAAGTAGGTAAATTTTAGGAGGAAGATGAACTCTAAGTTTGAACAATAGCTGAGTACACTTTTAATAAACTTTGACAAATTACACTCAGAACGACAAAACACCAACAAAATCCCCGGCACTTCAACCAACCTGCAGCTGTGCTGGAGTATGGTCTCCCCGCAGTAGTGCCAGCGCATATGTCTTGCAGCGGGCAGCCACGTCATCAAGTGCGAGAGAAGCCAGGGCCGCGGCCGCGGAGTCCTCGCGCCGCGCCGTCTCTACGCACAGCCTGGCCGCCGCACAGGACGCCTGCCACACGGAACAGGTTATATGTGCCCCAGGGAAAGCTGCACGCACCTCCTGGAAAAAATATATAATTCTATTTTATTTCTAGTAATGAGGAGCCCGTTGTAGTGTCTGCTTCTTCTTTCTGAACAATGGGTCAAACAATGTACTCAGTAATTATATCAGTGGGTTACGCTAATTTTAAGCAGGTTTTTTGTCCGCAATATTTTATCCCCCTCTCAACTATTGAAATTAATACACAATCGTCCAACATTCAAATTACGTTATTTTAAAATTCTTTTATACTCCCAATCTGAGCCCAGAGCTAAATATAACAGTAAGTGGGCAGCCCGGGTTCAATCTCCACTGGCACTGATGGAATTGTTAATTGCAAATTTAAGTGCTGATTTACCATGTGCTGGGCAGTAAAGGAAAACAACGTGAGGACAAGAACATACAAATTTTGAAGATATGTGAAATCCGCAAACAAGCATTGGGACAGCGCAGCGGATTTTGCCTTGACAAAAGGCTTTAACAGGGCTGTGCCCAGCAATGGGACATATTTAAAGGCTGAACTTTACTGTAACTTTAGTACGAGGCTGCCACTCGAGAACCTTTCTTCCCCATCGGTTGTCGGTTCTTCGAGATATATGGCCAGCCCACTGCCACTTCAGCTTACTAATCCGTTGGGCTATGTCGGTTACTCTGGTTCTACTGCGGATATACTCATTTCTAAGTTTA